TGTCCCTCTCTCTCTTTCTCTCTCTCTCTCTCTGTCTCAGATGAATAGATAAAATCTTTGGGAAAAAAAAAAGTACACTTATCCTGATGAGCACTGAGTAATGAACAGAATTGGTGAATACTGTATTGTATACCTGAAACTAATATAAAACTGTATGCTCACTATACTGGAATTTAAAAAACAGATCCCTTTAGGTGTCTAAAGCCATACAACTGAACCTTCCCCATAGATGCAGGGTTTTGAGAAGGCCAGGGTCAGCCTCCTCACTGTAGCTCAGGAAGAGTGATGTCTGTGCTGGAAAGGAAGGGAGGGAGAAGGGGGAGTGGGAGGGCTGAGAGTCCTGGAGACCAAAGGACCATTTCCAATTTGTTATGGGGAAATGAGAATGTTCAAAATCCAAAGCTGACCAGAGGCCTCCTGATAAAGGAGAAGAGCTTAAAGTTTTCCTCTCCTTTCTCTCTCTGGGCCATGAGCTCAACCACCCAAAACAACACACGCACACACATCCAGTGAAAGTCATTGCAGAAACAAGTCATGTGTGCCTGTCAGAGGTTCCCGGGCCCTGGGGAATTCACCCCAACTGCTCTGTCCTCTCAACTCCCCCACTCTGGTGAGGGAGGGGCTGCAATAATAGGTGAGCACATGCAGCGTGTGGTAGGTGGGAAGAGTCTTCCTGGACCAGGACTTCCACATCAAAAGGGGGGCCTCAACAACTAGACAATGAAGCCCAGCCCTGGATCCCAGATAGGCAAAGAGCAGCTCAGCTGCTTTCTGTTACCTCTCTGGGGTGGTTGGTGAGCTGAGGAGGAAGGGTGGTCAGAAAAGGAAGTACAATTATAAACCAGGGGAAAGCCAAATCTCCTGCCGAAAGAGAGGTCTGCAGAGGCAGAGGGAACCCACAAGGGGAACAATTAACTGATAAGAGTAAACTAATTGCTATTCATATTAAATTAGGGCACAGGTGATTTGGAGAAAGCCTACAGACCCTCCCAGATGTTTTTTGGGTTTTGCATTGCAGATGATGGTTTTATGGAATCCTTCTGGGAGTCAGATTACAGGAGCTGGGCCAGGACCAAAGCGGGGACAGGGCTCCCATCCTGTTTAACTACACAATAAACACATAACAGCTTGTCCCAGAGGACAAACTCAGACTCTGCATACTAAACATTTTGGTGGTAGGCTTTGGGGGCCTTTAAGAAGAGGGGCTCACTTACTTCTGGCAAGGAAGAGGGGGAAGAGGAAGATCAATCATTCAGGGAGATTCAGGGGCTGCTCCAGATGTTTGGAACAAGGGCTTAAATCGTGGGTTGCACTAAATCCAGATGTGGAAGGGAAGGGTTTCCACAGATCTGCAGAGGCCAAGCAGGAGAACAGAGAAGAGAGTAGAAGGCAATCATTGCAGCCCCAACCACCCTGTGGGGTCTGGTGTGTGTGTGTGTGTGCACATATATGTCTATCTGTGCGGGTTTTCAGGTATGCACATCTGCATGCATGCATAAATGCACTCCAGGAATAGGAGAGTTGTGTATGTCTGCATGTGTATCTGCCTCTGTGTGAACATTTTGTATCTATATAGCTGTTTGTGTATTTATATGTGTTCACGCACTTGGGGTATTGCCAAAACTTCCCACTGAAACTAATGGCAGGCTGTTTTCTCTTCACTGAGGCTTATCATGCTAATTTTAATCCCACCTTATTGTTTTAAGTTGGCTCTAAAAATTAATATTAAAAAATTCTGTAAACAGAGCCTGGGGCTAAATTGCAAGACAGGTCCCTAGAAAGGGGTTTTATTATCACTATTGTTCTTATAACAATAGTGCGGTTCGTGAAGCTCGCCACCCATCCTGTTCCATCTGGTTAGCCTCCCCTTAGTGAAAGGAAGAGCAGCCGAGAACACCTGCAGACAGTGTCCAACTGGCCACAGCCCGTCAGGACCAGATGGGACTGATAACCACTTAGTCTAACACCTGGTTTTATTACAGAAAAGAATGGCTGTGAAGGACTGACTACCCAGTCACCCAGGTAGTGTCTTCACAGTCAGCCTGAAGCTCTTCATTGCCTGAGCTTACCACAAGGAGGCTGTGCCCTGTCCTGGGGGAATTGAGGGCAAAATGGATGTAACCCCTGTCATAGCCTCACATAGTCCACACATTGCTGATCCTGATATCCTCTGTGGGCTTCAGTCCCCTTGTTTATAAAATGATGGGCCAGAACCAGAAACTCTACAAGGGTATTTCTACCCTACTATTTGGTGATTGTATATCCAGGACCAGCGGCTTTAACTGGGGAGACGGGCAGTTTGTACTCCATGCAAAATCATGGCCATGTCCCTCCTCTGCACTCTCTTGATCTTCCCTTTCCTGCTCCAGTTGGTGCGGTGGGGAAGTAGAATGTGAGGACAAGGAAAACTTGATCTCTGAAAAGTTTCTCCTAGCAGAGTCTAAGGTGCAAGGGTTATTAAAATAGGGGAAAGAGAAAGTAGAGTAGGGATTGCTGTAATTCATACATCACTTAGAGAATGAAGAAATGATCCTGTGCTATAGCAGAAGGTACTCAGGTTAGATGTGGAAGAACTTCCCTGATGGCAAGGAGAGCTGTTAAACAGTTAAGGAAGAGAGAATAGGAGGGAATAAGAGAGTGGGACAGCTGTCCTCAGAGACAGTAATTACATTTTCAAATATCTGTGAGATGGTATGGATGATGAGGCCCCTTCCTCATCTCAAGATCTTGACCAAAGTAGCTAATTCTGAAGCCCTTGTCCCTATCCCATCCTCCACCCACCACACATACTCAGGTAAGGAGCAGGGCAGGGCCTGGCTGGGTAGTGACCAGGGTCAGGAAGGCGGTGGGGGAAGGGGAAGGGATTCTGCTTCTCAGAATCAGCCCAGGGTACACAGAAAAACTGCCTGGTGGTACTACTTTGACTCAGCAATGCCTGACAGTGGGTCTAGGGTTGGTGGAAGGCAGAAGGCATCAGACCTTGTGGGAGAGTTAGAGTTCCTAAAAAACACTGACATCCTCTGGCCCTGCTGTGACTAGAACCCCAGCTATAGGAACTGGCCTCTGCTGGGGCTGTGAAGAGAACACAGGATGGCCCTGACTACAGGTGTCCAGGAAGACGACAAGCCTGGGTGTACAAAACCTTTAAAACATTTATAAGGATAGCTTCTAAGTCTCTGGCAACTTGACACAAGAGCATTTGGAAGTATCTCCATAGCTAGCTACCTGCCATGGCTGTATCTGTACCCCATACATACATGCACACACATGTGCCTACGCAAGGACTCCCTGGTTACACACACCCCCAGCCCACCCAACACACACAGGCAGGAAACATGCAGGGGCATCTTTAACCAGGGAGCCCTGGGAAATTACTGGATAGCCTACTAGCCCCCTTCTCTCCATCTCTGCTCCTTCCTTCCCAGCTTGCTCTCTACCCTACGCATTGCCTCCCTGCTTTCTCTTCGGAATGTCCAAGGCACTGTGGGAGGGGGAGTGGAGGCTAACCCTCAGCAGCTGGACATGCCCTTCGACAAGGCAGCAATGCCGACAGATGGGGCCATTCTGTTGGCCGGTGCCTGAGGACCCCCATCTCTACCACACATAGACAGCCCTGTATCCAGGCAGGTACCACCCACCCCCACCAGCTATCTCCTACTCCTGGGTGCCTGAAGCCAAGCAGGGAGCCGCACCCTCCCCACTCCCCAGCTCTGCCTCCCGGTCCCAGAGAACCGCCCCCCAACTGCCCAGCCCGGAAACAATCACCCTTTGAGAAAGGCTGCCAAGCTGGGCGCCAGGAACAGCCAGGATGGAGGCGGGGTGGGATGGGGGTGCAAGCAACGGGCCGGGAGAGCTTTAACTCTAGAGAGCCGAGGCCCGGGGTGCTCGCCAACCCCCCCACCCCGCCCCTGCAGCCCCTGCTGTAGCGCCTCAAACCTGAGCCGCCTAGTCTGGGGAGGGCTTGTGTGTAGGGGGCGGGGGGGGCGATACCAATCACGGGGGGGGGGGCGCCACCTCCTCCTCGCGCCCCCCGCCTCGGCTGGCGAGGTTGGTACCGCCCATTAGCGGCGCGGGTCCCGCCGGCAGCTAGCGCGCGCTCGGGGGCGGGAGCGGGGAGAGTGGGGGCGGGGAGAGAGGGGTGGGGGCGGGGCGGCAGGCGCTGTCAGAGCCGCGGCTGCACCGGAGCATCCGCTGCCGCCGAGGGGACTCCGCGCCCGCCGGGTCGGCTCGGCTCCGGCCGCCCCGCGCCTCCCCCCTCGCCGCCCCCCCGGGCCTGCCCCCCTTGCTTCCCCCACCCCGTCCCCTGTGCCTCCCCCGCCCCTACTCCCCCACCCCCTGTCTCCCAGCCTGCGCCCTCCCGCGCGCTCCCAGGCTCCGGCTGCAGCCTCTCTGAGCCCAGGAGCCGGGCCGGGGCGGCGGGCGGGCGGGCGCGCGGACCCCGCGGCTATGAAGTGGCCCCCAGGGGCCCGGAGCCCGAAAGCCCCCGGGGAGGGAGGTGCGCGCGGCCCAGGACAGCAGCCTAGGGGCTCCGGGGCCGGCGCATAGGGGCCGCCGCCCACCATGGACCGCGCCGGGGTCGATCCGGACTCGCCACCGCAGGTCAGTGCCCCCGCGCCCCCCGCGCGCTGCAACAGCGCAAAGAGTCCCTTTATGCGTCCCCATCAGTACCCACGCCATGTCCTCCCGTGCGCGCGCGCGTGTGTGTGTGTGTGTCTGTGTGTGTGTGTGTGTGTCTGTGTGTCTGTGTGTGTGTGCGCGCGCGCGCGCGCAGCGGGGGCAGCTGGAAAGGGGCCGGGAACCGGGCCGGGGCTGGGAGGCGCGGCGGCCGAGGGGCTGCGAAACAAAACCCCGGTGGTGCCTGCCCTCCTCCCGGCCGGCCTTAAGGGGAGAGAGAGCTGGTTCTCGGCAGCTTCCAACAACTGGCCCAGACTCTGAGCTCTTGCTCCCCTTTCCACCTCAGCAGGTGGTTCCTGGTCTCGCGGAGGAGTCAGGGGTAGCACAGCCGCCGCACCCTTGCTCCCTAGCAGCCATTCCCAGTCGCTCTATAGCCGCAGGTATTGGCAAGTTAACTCTCTTCGGGGAACCCAGCCTCTGCCACTCTACTGGGGAGTCTGAGGGGCTAGAAGGTGGTAAGGGTGGCAAAGGGCTCTTGGGCCCATCAGTGTAGCCAGGAAGGAGGCATGACCAAGTTCACCACCCACCCCGGTGCACCTGACATCCTGATTCTTCTGAAGTCAGAGCGTAAAACTTTAGAAAAGGAAGCTGATAGGTGAGGCAGGATAGAAGAAAGGAGAAAGCCATAGGATCTCACAGTGCCAGAGAAAGGAGGTGACAGCCTGGAACCAGGCAGCTTAGGTCAAGAGACACCCCTTCCCCCACACACATATGAATACATAAACAATCTTGACTAGCCTCCCCTTCCCACCCAGCCAGGCCTACCATCAGCCATGAACTATTCTGATGAATTCTTGTAGAAGCTGGAGCTAAAGGATTCCAGGGATTTCCAATTCACAGGACTCTGAAGGGGACCTCTGCTGACAGTTGCTAGCCCTATGCTGGTGGGGCAGCTCTATCTGTATGAGTACCAATCTGGATAGAGGAAGCATTGGGATCCGTTTGGGTTCCGTGGCTTACACTGTAAAAGGATTGGGTGTGAATGTCCTAGTGTGTAATAGCACTGTGAAGTTATTATGTGTTTGTTTGGAAATGGGAAGCACACAGCTTCTTAAGTTGGGGGTTGTGGGGGTGTGTGGCTTCACAGGACTGATGCTCTAGTGTTTTCTAAGATTTGTCTTCTGTGCCCCATGTCACCCTACCTCTGCCAATAGCCACCACAGAGATTGAGACATTTCCTCCCAGAACTTGATTAACTGGTGACCATTATTGGCCTTACTGGACCAAACAACAAGTTCCCCGTTCATATGGAATAAAGACCCTTCCCATGAGACCCTCAAAGAAACTGTCCACTCTGCCAAGTCTGTGTCCGGCACACCCAAAGGTTCTGGAGTTGCCATTTCCTTCTGCCGCTTTTGGTGAGAACAAGAAAGCTTGCCAAGGTTAATGGAATAGGGAGGGTTAATGAATTTGTGCCTCATTCAGCCCAGGAACCATGTGGTTTGCTGTGCCCTTTTCTCTACCTGATCCTAGATGCTTGGAAATCACTCTGTTTTCAGGCATGTTAGAAATTCATATCTGCTGGATTGAATATATGCATATAGGTTTCTGGGTGAGCAGGCACTAACTGGTCCACCTGAAGCATGGGGCAGGTAAATCACTGAGGTGGGACAGCTCCAACGACAGGATTGGAGCCTGCAGCAGAGACCAGGGGCTCCAGAGGAGCATGGGGGGAGGGGGTAGCTCAGTTCCCTGTCTCTGGCATCTGGATAGACCTGGATTTACCCACAGTAGTTTGAGGGGTGAGGGGAACAAGTCGGCTGTACTTCTTGTTGTGAAGCATAAGGTGAGGAGGTAGGACAGGAGCTTTGCAAGTGTGAGAAGTGCAGAAGGATGAGCTGATTGGGAGTCAGGCTCAAAGATAGGGGAGCTCGTTGGTTCAATTTGGCTAGGAAAGAGGAATGAGCAGGCCTAGAGATGCCCGAGAGCTCCTATCTGCTGACACTGGAAGAGAAGCTAGGCAGGGCTCAGGAAGAGAAGGAATCCAAGAGTCTGAGGCAGGCAGTGGAGCCAGCCTGAGACAACAGACAAAGACACAGAAGCGTGCTCACAGAACGATGGTGTGGGGGGCCCAGAGGCAGAGCTGTGGCTTGCCCAGTGGTGCTGTTGGGGCCAGTCCAGGGCCTCCCAAGCTCCACAGTACCAGCAGTCATCCACCAGGGCAGGGTGGAGGGGTCCTCAAAGGAGCCGTCGGACAGTCTCCTGAGGAAGGCCCTTTCCAGGCCTCCGATGAATGCGAGGGAAGGTTCAGAGGGATGCTTAAAGGCAGAAGAGGGGTGGCTGTTGGATCAGTGTCTTCAGGAAGACCTTCTTGCCCAGGCTCATCCCCCAGTGTTGAGGGCTTCCCCCGTCTCCTGGCCCCTGCCCCACTACCCCTCCTCAAACTGGGATGCATGGAGTGGGGAAGGGTGTGGACTCTGGAGAGACTGGCTCTGGGACGAAGGAAAAGAAAAGCCTCTTTCATGATGCCCCAGGCCTCCAGACAAGACATTTGGAGACCCTGCAGAAGAGCATTGGGCTGGGGGGTGGGGTATGGAAGTAGTGCAGTGCAGGTCACAGGCTCTCAGCCAGGTCTGGGGGGCCCTCCATGACCAGTTTAGTGGACTTTGGGAAAAACTGAGCCCTCTAAGCCCTGGTTTCCTAAAAACCTAACCTGAGGAAGCCTTATCTCACCAGGCTGTTTTTAGGTGAAGTGCCAGATAAATGTTAATTTATGTACTTATTTTATATACCCTCCCCCACATTCTTCCAGGATCTGGATGGCTCTAGAATTTGGAGTAGCAATTCTCTGGCCAACCATGGAACCAATTACACTGGGATGATTATAGCCTCTCCATCTCCCACGCCACTCCACCCCATCTGCTTTGCTACTCCTCCAGACTCTAGGCCTTCCCCAGGCCCACCTGGGATGTGCCTCTGTTGCAAGGACACTCTCATGTCTTCTTGGAACAACAGCAACTGCAGTGTTTTCATGTCTAATTAGTGGTCAGTGTAATTGTTCCAATTCATCAGCTAGTGATTTCATAAAACAATTTATGCAACTTAGAAGAACTCTAGCTCTGTGACCTCTTATTATCCATGCTGAAAAATGGCAAGGTGGACAGATGTCACTCAAAATTCCTTTCACTTCCATAGATGTTGACTGAGCACCTACTGTGTTCTAGGCCCTGGGCCAGTGCTAGGAACATAAGGCATCAAATAATCCAAAATCGGGAGTTTTTATTTAGCTTTTGGAAGGGTTATGTGGGTTGCTTTTTTTTTTTTTTTTTTTTTTTTTTTTTGCAGCTACAGCAAATTTACTTTTCTAATGAGGTTCAGCTCCAGCCAATATTAAAATGAGTCTGCGCTCCCTGCGCACACCAGCTGACAGCAGGGCAGGCAGCCTCCCAGCCAAGTGCCTGGCAGGGATTAGGGCTTTGCCACCAATAAGCCCAAAAGTGGAGAGTTTCAGTCTGGATCACCAAGAGTTGACTGGATTTAGGGATAAACCTTGTCCACAGAGCTACATATCTCACAAAGTATTAGAGGCACGGGCAGGGCTTCTTCTTGTATGTGTGAACTGTGAGCTGTTCTTATCTCTTTATGATGGGAAGAAGGCTGGAAGGAGCAGAGATAAGACAGCATGGCCTAGATTATTTGGAGTGGAAATATAGGACCAGACCTGAGGTTGGGAGCCTGGTTCGGCCAGTCCTCCCTGACTGGCTAGGTGTGGCTGAGCTCATCCTTTCTCCCTCCTTCTTCTTCTCTCCATCTTGCTTTTCTCCTTATGAGGCGGTTAGGCAATTGGGCCTCTGAGGCCATGAGTCTCTTTAGGCTCAACACCCTGGGCTATTCATCTGACCATCATTCAAAAACCTCTATAGCCCAACACTAGATGTGGGGTGAGCTGCTTTCCCTCCCATGGTGGGCAGTCTTCCATTCACACCAGCCATATTTTGAGAGCCAGTGGCCACCATATTGGACAGCACAGATACAGAACATTCCGAGCATCACAGGAAGTTCTACTGAAAGTGCCATTCTAGACTCGACATGGATGGTTTAGCAAGGTGGCTAAGAGAATGGGCTCTGGAGCCTGACTGGCTAAATTCAAATGTGGCTTTGCTACTTAATAACCGTGTAGCCTTGAGACATTCATTACTTATCCTCTTGGTGCCTCAGATTTCTCATCTCTAAAATGGGGATAATCCCAGGGTGTTTATGAGAAGAGAATGAGTCATTACGGTTAATCATGATAATCACTCAGAGAATGCAATAGTAAGTGCTTTGCCTAGCAATTTCTATTATTCATTTATTTAACAATTCACTTAACAAACACTTAATGAACAACACACTTTATGCCAGCGTGATGCCAGGTGCTGGGGCTGTCAGTCATCAGCCTGTGACCTTGCTCCCTGAACCTCAATTTCCTCACCTGTGATGGGAATGTGCCAGATAGTAACCCCTCACCACTGCCCCGATGAGATGCACTGAGATGAGTAATGTCTTCCTTTGCCCACGATACTTCTGGATAAGCAGGGCTAACATTTCTGGAAGTGGATACAACTTAAGTTCTCTTTTTATTGGAACCACTCTCACCAAAAAAAAAAAAAGCATTTCCTAAGCCTCCGTAAGTTCGAAATAAAGGGGGCAAATGAGGTCCCAGCTGCCTCCAGCATCTTGTTGAGTGGGGAAAGAAACAATTGGCGGCAGGGGTGGGGCGTGGCTCTTGCCTGGGCTCACCCCCTCCCTGGTCTGGAGGGAAGGAAAGCTAGGAGGCCGCTGCCCTGGGCTCAACAGTGGGAAGAGGCCAGGAGGGAGCAAGGCCCTTGGCTGGACAGGATGTAAAAATCGGCTGGCTGACCCAGTGACTCGTCACAGCTGTGTCAGCATCTCACTGTGTGACAGAATCTTGTAGAACCTCATCTTCCTCATCTAAAATATGAGGAGTGTGAATCATGTGAACATTGCCCCACCTGAATTATACCACTTACCTTGGTAAAGGAAATGTGTCTGAGAAGCAAGAATTTGCCATGTGTAGCCACAAACTATTGGATGAACACTGAAGACTATCTGGGCTATAAGGCTTTGCACAGAATTTGGATTCTGTGACTCTGGGTTGATTCCTTCTTTTTATAGGTAAGAAAACCAATGCCCAGAGAGGTTCCAGGCCTATCTCAGGTCACACAACACTGTTGTGCCTTTTCCTAGACTGTGACCTCAGTCTCCCAACTCCCTACTTCTCCCTCTCTGTTAGGCTGCCTGTCCTTTTGGCAGGACAGAGATGCACAACAGGGAAGCAGGAGTTGCCTCACCCAGGGCATGGGGTAAGAGGCTGACACTTGAACCCCAGGGCTCCTTTCATCCAGTCTGGGACAAGTCTTCTCTCCCCTCCTCTGACAAC